CTTAGCTTTGGAGCTAAGGAGAACTCTCCAACTTTAGCTCAAAAGCTATAGGTTTCTTCTCTTTCTCCTCCAACATCAAAATTGTAAGAGATTTTCCCTATTCATAGCTCCAAAGCTAAGGAGAACTTTCCTACCCTTAGCACAAAAGCTATTAGTTTCCTCGCTTTCTCCTACAACTTCCAAGTTGTAGAAGATTTTCCCTCACTTTAGCTCCAAAAGCTAAAGAGATATCTCCAATCTTCAGCCTAAAAGTTAAATGTTTGATAACTATTTTCTCTCTCTTTAGCTCCAATAGCTAGGTAGGATCTTCCAACACTTAGCCCAAAAGCTACATATTGGATAACTCCCTCTTATACCAAAACTCTAAGTAACTCTATCATTTAACATAACAAATGATCTCTCCTCATGACAACTAAAACTTAACCTTTAGATGTCCCTTAGCAGTTTTCTATATGTTGAAGTTCATCTTACATTATTAGATAAATTTCACAAAGTCCTAAGTGCAGCCCATAAGCATTTTCACCTTATACTATTAAGTGAACATTCACCTCTTATCTAAATACTAAGATAACTCTAAAAATCTCTAAAATTGGCTAAGCTTTATTTGATACAATGAGCAGTCATTCTACCCCAAAAGGTGAAATAGTTGCATCATTATATCTTAGGACTCATAAGCAAAGCAAACAGTGACTGTTTTATGGGTTCTTCATAACTTTCCTAAATATGAAATATCTAAAAGCCAAATAAAATCTTTAAGTCACAAATAACTTAAAAGAGAAATCACCTTTGGATTAAGATTAAAAGTCTTATTTCCTCAAATAAAAGCACCTTTCATAGTGTGACATGCCACATAAACCAAACATACATAGGTGCATAATCCCATAGGCATGCTAGGACTAGGATTTTTTTTGCCTATACGTTTGATGTTTTGGTGTGATACCCTTTGGATTGTATGCGTTGTGGCCACATTCCCTTAAGTGAATAGCATAGGTATATATATACTTGTTTTTGTTGCAGGTGTCCATATCTGAAAGGAGACGCAATAAATAATAAATAAAATATTTGCTAACAGGTGTTGTTTAAAACCCCCAAGAGATATGACCAATAGGGTAGAAGCAAAGGATTGACATTTTAAGTGTAAGGTAATTATGAATGATTTCTCATGCTTTATATATAAATTGCTCCTAATCCCTATCCTATTTTGCAGGTTTTAGGTCTTTTATATTTTTAACATATGTTTGATAGATTTAGGAGTTATATGTTAAACTTGTGAGATTCAGTCAGAGGAGAGATGTATCAAGATGATGTACTTATTAAAGGTGAAGCCTAAGGTCTACTTAGAAGTTAGAGCTTGAAAACCCCCTCACAAGTAGAGTTTATAATAAATTTATTTGGGTTGTCTAATGGTAGACAACTCAGCTGCCAAATTTGGTTGTAACAATTTAGAGTTCTTTTGATTGATACACACACACACACACACACACACACACACACACACACACACACACACACACACACACACACACACACACACACACACACACACACACACACACACACACACACACACACACACACACACACACACACACACACACACACACACACACACACACACACACACACACACACACACACACACACATATATATATATATATATATATATATATATATATATATGTTGATTGTTTATTGGGTGCACAATAAAAACATGCTTTTTCTTAGGTTTTTTTGCATGTTTTGCTTGGGGTTAGCCTGGATAAATTGATGCGGTAGAATCTTAGGACAAATTATGTTTTATACCCATTAAAATGTTAAACAAAATAAAATTAACCTTAGGCCCCATATTTTTTTAAATACAAGAAAAATTATGTAGCTTCCTTCAATGAGCCAAGTTTTTTAAAATTTAAATTGATCATGCATAGCCAGTGAGTCTCATGTATAAAAGTCTTTACTAAGGATCAGATAACAAAAAAAAAAGCATTTACGAGTCAGCATTCTGTATACCATTCATGGTCAGACATCTTGACCTTAAAGCTAAGTTGTAAACTCTATTTTCTAAACAAAATAACCTCTCTACTCTTTGTATGTATTGAGAGTGAATTTCATGGTTTTGAAAGTGATTATGTGTGTTTAACTGATAGCTCTTTCTGGATAGAGCAATAATTTCGAAGGTCAGACTAGCTATGCCTAATGCAAGGTGTAGTTTTAAATCCCCTGCACTCCGTTATACTTAGATTTGAGGTACTACCCCTTAGTAGTCCACATCTTAATTCTAGGATTTGAGGGATTTTTTTATTTCAGCCACTTCATAAGCCTTAACCTTTCAGGTATTTTCTCCAATATGTATTGTTGAACTGTAAGCCTCAACATTCTAAATTAGGTGAGTTTAGCTGGTAGCTCTTTCGGGCATTGTAATAAATCTAGAGGTCGGACTAGCTATGCCTCATGTAAGATGTAGTTTATAAATCTCTTACACTTCGTTAGACTTAGATTTGAGACACTATCTCTTAGTAGTCCTCACCTTAGTTCTAGGATCTGAGACAGTTATTGATTTCAGTCACTTCATAAGCCCTAATCTTCCGTGCATTTCTTCAAACATGTGTTATTGAACTATAAGCTCCAACATTCTAAATTAAAATTATCAACTTAAACAAAAATTGAATTCTAAAATGTAAAGCATATTATAGGATAATTTTGAGTACCTTTGAGTTTCTCCATAGAATCAAGTATTCTTACTCTTCCTCATTTAGGCTCTCATTCCAAGAACTCCAATCAAAGTTGATTCCCTCTTCCTTCAAAATTCCTAATGATAAAAAATCTTTAAATAAGAAATTCATAAATTTCAAAATAAAAAACTTTAGCCAATATTTTGATTATTAAAAAAAAAGAAATCACTAAATTAATCAAAAGTTTTCTCAAATACCAAATTCTTGAGATGTAATTAACCATAGAGCTACCCCCGATCGGGCATCCATAATCCAGAATAAAATAAACTATATTTAATCAAATATTGAATGTGAGAAAATCTCTGTTAAAAATTGAAATTGTAAATTTTGTCTTTAAGTTCATAGGGAAATGATATTTTTGACCTTCTGCACAATATATTATCTTTTATGTTGTGCTCATTCACTAAATTTACAATCTGTTGAGGATGATAAAATTTCTCCAACATTGACTACTGAATATTATCTTATGTTGATACCTTAGTTGCTATCCGGATAACTTTTAGAGGAATTTTGTTGACCATATTAGCCAGTACCACCTCTACCTTCATGACTGTAACTTTCATTTTATTTGAAGTTTTTTTTGTGCCCTAGAGAATGATACTGGTCGGTCATCAACCTAATTATATAATGCTTTACTTATGTATTCATGATGATCATGATGCTCTACTTTATGCATTATGTTTAGTTATCTTTTTTTATTGTATCGTTAACTTGCATTAAATGTTCCATCTCTTATAAATAGCGGAGTACTGGTGTATCCAAGTTGAATTGATGAATTATAACGAATACACATCCTCTGTTATCCCTTTGGAGCTCTTCATATTCTCTCTTCTCCTCCTAAAGGTTGTCAAAGCCAAGCTTCTCTTGTCCTCCCTCTATTCTCCTTTCATCCCTATTTGCTGGCTAGCTCCTCTTCCCCTTGTATTCTTCGTTGGTTTGAGTTTTTCTCCTGAGTCAATTGGTATGGGTTATGGGAGAGGGAACCCTTAATAAGAGCTGCTAATTCATTGTCATTCATTGATTCTGCTTTGTTACACCCTTACTCACCTTTATAGAAGAGGGAATTCTTAATGCAAACTATGGGTATAGAGAACATAAGCTAAATAAAACTAAATAAAGGGTATAAGATGGATCATCATGATCATCATGATATCATCACTTTATATAAGGTAAATAAAGCATCATCTACATCATCTACCTGCATAAAAAGTTTAAGCAAACATCTGTTTTCTTGAAGTTTCACTAAGGTAGTTTCCTGAGTTTTTGCTATGAGAGGCTGTAACCTATGATTTTAGACCTGACATGTGAAACGACATTTTCATTTCTTTATTAGTAGCTAAATGAGCTTGGAACTGTTGATAGTAATGCATTCATATGTGATAAGAGCGTTTGATGTTCCAAATTAGGTTCTTCTGCTTTAAAATTAATGTGTCTTGATTAATAACGGAAAAAAAATTTCTGCAGGAAAATAGCTATCAGTGTTGTTAGGTTCAATTATGTCTATGGAATAAAGAATTCAAGATTTGAAACTTTTTGTTCGTGTGCCTACGCTCTTCATTCCTTCTATACAGCATCACTATTTCAGTTTATTTGACTGTTACCTCGATATAGATATTTGATAGCTAGAATTAATAAAGTGAAAGCTCGATGTATTTTTTATATTATACATTTTATAGTTTGCTTTTGTTTGTTTAAATTTGACTTTTTTGAGTGGTTCGTCATGTATTTGATGCTTGATGATACTTGTGCATGTAGTCTAGCGAAGTTTGCTTGCATAAATATTATTAGTTTATTTTAATTGCTTATAATTATATGCTTCAAACTTAAAATAAGTCGAATAATGTAATATTTAATTGTTGAGTTTTGTTAACGAAAATTGCAAGGATCATGTAGAACTTCAATGTGATTATCTTGAAGGAACCTTTTTGTTCATGATGCATGTGGATTGATTTTTTTTTTCCCTAGTATATTAAAGTGATCGACCAATAATCTGGTTTCTTCATTGCTATTTTACAAATCGATTTCTCAAACTTCAATACTGTAATATTTAGTATGTTTTGTGACTGTATCTTTAAAGGATCTTGTAAACTTCAACGTATCCATCTTGGTTGATGTTTTTTCATTGGTATATTGAAGTGATTGATCTCTAATTTCATTCATTAATTGATCTATCACAAAGTAATCTTTTAGATTAATTAATTATTTATTTATTTTGAAGAGTTATTGTATAATGTTTTTTGTTATTTTGACGTTGGCGCTTGTTTATCAGGATATGTTTGAAGAGAAAAGAAGCATTCTAGAACCAGCTGGTGCTCTTTCTTTAGCTGGGGCAGAAGCTTACTGCCGATATTATGGTTTGAAGGGTGAAGCAGTTGTTGCTATAACAAGTGGGGCTAACATGAATTTTGATAGACTTAGATTAGTAACTGAACTTGCTGATGTTGGACAGAAACGAGAAGCTGTTCTTGCGACTTATCTACGTGAGGAACCTGGAAGTTTTAAACAGTTTTGTGAATTGGTGAGTCACAAGATATTTTTCTTCCTCTCCCTTCAGAAAATCAGAAATTGTTAGTGAAACATTGAAAATTTGGCAGGTTGGTCGAGTAAATATAACAGAATTTAAGTATCGATACAATTCCTGTAAAGAGGAAGCTCTTGTTCTGTACAGGTAAGCTGCTTGTATTTGTAGTTTAGAACAACTTTTTTATATAATCTTGAGTAGAGGAAAACAATCAAACATGCTGTCTTATTTATTTATTTATTTATTTTTTCTACTTGCTCTTTTAAGCTATTCTTCCCTGAGTTGGTTTCTTCTTGTTTACATCATGATGCAGCGTTGGGGTTCACGCTGTCTCTGAACTTGAAGACATGATAAAGCGAATGGTGGATGCAAAACTTAAAACCATAAATCTGATCAATAATGACTTGGCAAAGGACCACCTTCGACACCTTGTATGGTTCTAGTCTCTCATTGTTAGCTGTGTGCCTAATTGCAATGATAGGATAAAGCTGTCTTAAATTTAAAATGCTTTAGATTGACTCATATTTGCAAGATTAAATGGCTTGCTAGTTCCTACCACTGACAGGGGCAGAATGATGCCTGTATGGACTTAAACCTAACTAGGACGAATGGACATGACATTAGGGTTGACAATACAATACAATTTGAATTTGGAGATATAAGACATCTTAGGTATGAGAAGAATGTCCCGATGTGACAAAAATTTAATATATAAATTGCTGCGTTCATGATATAGCACAAATAATGTAGAGATGCATGTTTCTACATTAGGATGCGATAAATAGTGTATCTGCTTCAACAATGCATGTCTATACATATATAAAAATATATGCATGTAGGTACACCAGGCATGGTGAATCATTTAGTGCATATTGTATGGTTCCATGGAGTTATGAGTGTGTTTGTATGTGCCTATGAAGAACATTATAAATGGAATGGATGAATGTATGCATGTATTTGTGTATGGCCGAGATATGTTAGAAATGTGTTGAGAGGAAATAAATTTATATATTATAAATTAAATATGTTAGGTCTATGAATAGGCATACAAGAGGATATAATTAGGAAACAAATAAAAGAGAATAACCCTAATTATGAGGATATTGAAAGGTATATCATCATCTTTCAATGCTAAGACTCTTACCTAATATGCCAATACTCTCCTCAAGCTAGAGCATATGTATGCATTGCTCTAGCTTGGTTGATAAATGAAAAATGGTAGGTGAGTTAGAGCTTTCTTAAATTTATCGATCATTTCTTTAAAATTAGAAAAAGGAGTAACAATTTTGTTGAAAACATATCCTATATGAAATGGAAAACTACTTCAATAATTTTGTTCTTTCTTAAAAAAATAATTCATATAGCCGACTCCACATAGTGGCATAAAGATTGGATGATGATGTTGTTGTTATTGGAAAATAGATTTGTTAGCAAAGTTTATGATAACATGATTGTCATAATATAAAATAATTGGTTGAGTAATGAGAAAATCATGCTTTTCCTAGAAAAGTTTTAACCACATTATTTCGTATGCATAACGAGTCATAGCTGCAGTAGATCCGATCACAATAATATATTTCATGTTAGTCTAAGTTATTAGATTTCAATATCATAAGGTTGACTTTCTATCTTTAACCAATGTAATCAACATCGGAGAATGCTTTGATATTTAGATGCTTAGTTTTGGTACATATCAACCTTTTTCATATATTTTTGATACTTCTAAGGATTCAAAAAAAGCTTCCCAAGACTTCTTTTTAGATTTTGTTTGCTCACTCCAATGGAAGATGAATTCCAAGCTTGGTAACATTGTAATAAATTTGCTGATCAACTAACCTTTAACATAGGTGAGGTTCTTCGTTATCAAATATGGTCTGAGTCTTCATAAGGGTATCAACAAATTTACAACCAAAGAATCTTCTTTCTTCAAGAAGATCAGTGGTATGATTCCTTTGAGAAGTGATGCTATCGGAAACTGAATTCCAAGAAAATTACTTTGGTCATCCCAGATCTTTGGTGACAAAGCACTTTTTATGTGTTATTTTTTCACTTCTAGGAAGATGCCTTTACCATAAACAACTAAATATGAAGCTTGAAGAAGTGTGTTTGATAAAGATGAATGATTTGTAGTGTTATATGAAGATTAATTTCAACTAGGACTTCACAAAGTTTGTTAAACTTTGCTTTTGAACTCTATTTAAAGCCATACATAGTCTTCTTGAGTAGAAGCATGCGGTTATCCCCTTGAGCCGCATACCGCATATCTAAGAGATTGCTATATAGATATATATATATATATATATATTATATATATATATATATATATATATATATATATATATATATATAATATATGTAGGTCAACGTAAACGATGACATCACTACTATTGTAGCATAATATATCTGATGATGACTATAACTAAAAGAACTCTAATGGAGTTGAGCCATGCAATTGAGGGAAAGTGCCAAAATAATGTTGAACTCCTTTGATAATTAGTTGTGCTTTGTAGCAATGAATTAGCATTGTATACACATCAACAGCCAAGTTCCTTAATCCTAAAAGGGGGAAAACCAAATTCCAAGTATAATGATTGAGAGGAGAATTCATTTCAACTTATGTGTACTCTTTCCATAAAGAATTTTCTAGTGTATATGGTTATGTCTTGGAACTAAATGCAAATGGTAGAGGCGAAAAAAAGGTACGAAATAAAGTGAATAGATGAGATCAAATGAAATATAAGAGTGAATAAAGAGTAAAATGTTGACTTTTACCTCTTTGCAGGGAAATAGGTAAAATGTAGATTAGAAGGTTCATCACTTGTTAATTATTAGTTAAATCTGAAATTTTGGCTGGAGTTATTGTCGTGCATCGAGGCTGAGGTCATTGAGAATATGCTTATAGGGGCTATAGGTAGGTAGTGATGCTTCTAAAGAAGAGGAATAGATTGTAAGGATGGTTCAAAGGTGGAAGAGGGAGAAAATGTAGGTGGAGACCTCTGAAACTTAATGTTAACCGAAGTTTATAACAAATAATCTTTTTGAGTGCATGAGTACTTTAGGAAAATATATCGAATAACATAAGCTAAAAGAGTTTGTATTATGAAGTAAACTTATATGTAGAGCACTTACAAGCAAAGATCTGTGTGGTGTAACGTAAATACAATTGACTAGGATAAAGAGTGAAGATGATTGAGATGTGTTCGAGAGAAATGATGTGATTGATTGTTGATCAAAAAAGGAAAAAGAAAGAAAGAAAGAAAAGAAACAAAACAAAAAAAGAGGGGAACAAGCGCTGTTTTAAATTGAACAGAAGCATCTTTCTGGAAACGACATTCCTTCAATAACTCAGTCAATAAAATGACAGAAAATCGGAAAAGATTAACTTACGCTCGTTTGATTCTCCTCATGCTCCTGTTCTGTTTCATTAATCTTCTTCAAATCCCCTTGCCTTACGTTGGAGCCGCTTCTTTACATTGTCTGAACCAACACAGTCATGCGATTTTAGCCAGCACCGCTTGCAATTATCGTGACCTCAACCCCCACCACGTGAGCTGCAACCACTATCTCTGCCTTTCTAGAACACCAGACCTCACTCCTGCACACACTTGTCCGACCGAGCCCAGTTGACCACAAGCCGCTCCCGTCCGCCTCGCATGTGAAACGCTTCACATCGCCTCTGCCTCTTGCACGAACAACAGGTCGCTCTCCCGCTTCCAGTCCACGTCTTCTGTTCCGCATGCAATCCCTCTTCCGTTTGACGTTTAGGATTTGCGTGATAAGACCCAATCCGAACCTTCTGTTCGCCTCTATTGCTCGACCTGTTTCTTATTATAGCCTCGTCTGAACCTTTGGCTATCTCCTCTGCTCAGATCAAAATTCCGCACGATTCCCTTGTTTTGTTCCAAACTGCCAAAGTAAGTAATCCTCTGTAGTCGTATATACAGGCTACTCGCCTGACTAGCAAATAAGTTGTAATTGGCAATCTAAAAGATTGAACTAAGATTTAAGATAATTAATTAATTAATTAATACAACAGATAAGTAGCCTAATGTCAAATACCTCACGTCCACGTCGTCGATCTTGGATCCGACCAGGAAGAAATTCAAATTAAAGATCTCTCGCCATCGATCTTAGATTTGATGGAGAAGATTTTCCATTGAAGCTCTCGTGTCATTGATCTTAGATCCTGTCCGGAAGATTTAAAAATAAAGAGCTCGCGCCGTCGATCTTAGATCCTGTCAGGAAGAAATTAATGGCAAGTGCCGTCCCAACCCCTGCGGTAAAGAGACGTTGGGAGGCTGCTGAAATTGCTCAAGGAGACAATCAAATTTTCTATAAAATGGAGAATTTTTATTTAAAAAATAAATTTAAGAGCGATTAAGTTGGAATTAAATTTCAATTAATTGAGTAATTAATTGATTAATTAAAATTTGAGAATGTTTAATTTGAAATTAAATATCAATTAATTGATTAATTCAATTAAATTATTAAATACAATTTGAGAATGATTAACTTGAAATTAAATATCAATTAATGGATTAATTCAATTAATTGATTATTGAAATTTAAATGCTTAATTAATTGATTAATTGAAGTTTCATACATAAACAAAAATTTAATTGATTGGTTAATTATTTTTAAAGTATATGTAAAACCCCTCCGAAGTTCATTTTTTTTAGTGCAGTTAGTCAGTACGAACTGACTTTAGTACGAGACGAACTGAAAAAAATTGTGAAGAATCTGTATGGTTCGTATGGACGAACCTGTACGAGCCCGGATGAACCGACGGGACGAAATTTTTCCAGCAAGCAAGTCGTCCAGGGACGAATACATTTCGTCTGGACGAGGTTTGTCCAGAGGGAAAATCGTTCCGGGACGAATAGGAATCGTCCGGGACGATCCTGCTTGATAAATATCTGATTTGAGATATTTTTGAGATATTTTGAAGAGAGAGAAAAAGCTGGAAAGAGAAAGAGAAGGAAAAGGAAGGAGAAAGCTTGGTTTCGGAGGCCGCGGAGCTATTTTCGTCCGATGATGCAGTTGGAAGAATTGTTTGTCTCAAGGACTCCGAATCCTATTTCTGATTTCAAAGATTTGGAGTTTTGGTATTTCTCTGCTTAGTTTTGTATTTTCGTTACAAAAAAAACGTGCTTATCTTTGTATTGACGAAACTTTTACCGCATAACTTTTGGTATGTTGTTGAAATGATGTTTTTGCACGATTTGAATATTTTCTGAAAAGTTTTTTCCGGGTATTTTGTAGTCTGATGTGTTTTTAACGAATAGAAAATTATCATGCTGTTGAAAAATAGTGTTTTAGTACAAGTAAAGCTTTGAAATATTGTTTTATTCGATTTCTATTAATTTGAAAATTTTCTGGAACTGTGCATTTTATAACGACTTATGTCTACTATACGATATTTTAAGGAATTTTCTAAATTGGG